ATAAAATCTTTAAATAATTCATTGAGATAAATAAGAATAAGTAGTAAGCCAAGAACATATCTCTGAGGAACTACTACTTGTATGTTGTTTAAGTTAAAGTTAACCCCATTCAAAGATACAAATTGTTTTCTACCGGTAAGGAATGATTTAAACCATGAATTTGCCAATAAAATTTCCCTAAATACAAAAGACTAATCTAATAATATTTAAAAGCAAGCTAAAAAAGTTAGATATGCAAACTAATATCAAATTAAATTAGAAAAAGCTTTATAGTAAAGAGTTCATAAACTATTTATGAATAATACTGGATGAGAATATAATCTGGATTTATCATTACAATAAATGTGTAAATCGAGACCTTTTCTCGATAATAAATCACATGAATTTGAGTTTGATTTTATTTAGAATCAATAAATTTACAATCAAGAATAATTTGATTTTTTTTCACAAAATTTAATAATACTGTAAATTAGTCAATCATTAATTATAAAGTATATTGACGAAGAGATGCAACACCAGGCATCTCTATACTATCTAATGTGTAGGACAAATTATCGAGACAAATAACGAGACAAGTTGTCCATCATGATAGAAAACTTTTGAATAAGTTGACCGTGTGAGTGTCAATTGCTTCTTATGGTAGATATTCCAGGACGGTGTGACACGATTATTAAAAAAGTGATGTCGCTCTTCGCAGTCGCTAACAATTTGTCTGTGTAGCTGTTTATTATGACTTCTCCTGCTATATGCGTTGTTAGAGAACCTTAGGAACAAAAAAATTAACATCATCAATTTTATTCACAATTTTAAACTGTTCAATAAGGTCTCCTCTGGCTCTTCTCTTTTTCAGTGTTGTCAATCTGAATATATTTAAGTTGCTCATAGGGGAGATGTTTGATAGAGGAAATTTTTGTTGCTCTGCGCTGAACTCTTTCAAGTATATTAATATCTTTTTTAAGGTGAGGAGACCATGCTTGAATAGCGAATTCCAAGTGTGGGCGCACATATGTGATGTAAAGCGTTCGCCAGAGACAAACGCTTCTGCTTCGGAATGCTTCTTTGAGTTGGCCCAATTTGTAATTAGCAACTGAGACTGCAGACTCCACTTGGGCACGGACTTTGAGATCATTTTTTTTATTTTTTATTTTTTTATTTATTTTTTTTTTATTATGCTGTTTATATAAATTACAATTTCCTTTCACCAAAAATAAAATATAATTACAAATGTACAAGTAATAAACAGTCAGGGGCTCAAAGAAGATATGGATGGCAAAATACCAACCTAATCTTTTCATAGAGCCCCTACAGATCATAACAATAATATATGGTAATATATGGTTATTAAATCAAGTAGAAAATTTAGGAAAAAAAAAAGAAATAGTAAAAAAGAAGATATAATATTTAAAAATACATATAGTGAATAAAGAACATATATATATATATATATATATATATATATATATATATATATATATATATATATATATATATATATATATATATATATATATATATATATATATATATATACACACACACATACACACACACAAATTTTTTTGTAAACAAAAATAAAAATTAATTCGTAAGATTTAGAACGTAAGTTTTTGTTTGAAACTGAAATGAATTTAAAGGTTTTGCCATATTTAAATTGTCTTTCAGAAAAGAGTTCCATAGCTTGGGACCTCTATAAGTTATACTATATTCTGTGTATTTGTTTACTTTTTTAGGTAATTTATATGTGTTACTTTGATTTATTCTTAGAGATACTTCTCATTTAAATTTTTATTAAATTTACTTATGAAGATTTATTCTTAGAAATACTTCTCATTTAAATTTTTATTAAATTTACTTATGAAGATTTCAGGAGTTAGATTATTGGTATATTTATACATAAACTTTAGGTGTTGGAAAATATTTATCTGATATATGTTCATCATTTTCATATCCATCATTAAAGGTTTAGTGTGGTCCCCCCTTTTTTTGTTGTATATAATTCTACAAGCATGTTTTTGTAAGGAAAGAATTTTTTTAAGTTTTGTTGGTGGACAACTTGCCCACGTAATATTTGCATAAGTAATGTAACAATGAATTAAGCTGAAGTATATAAGCTTTAGACTATGTGAATTTAAGTATGGGCGAGTTTGATACATAATACTAATGGTTCTACTAATTTTTGATTGTATATATTTTATGTGTGGGAGCCATGATAAATGATCATCCACAATAACTCCTAAAAACTTTATAGTATCTTGTTTTTTAATTTTTTTATAATTTATAATAAGTTTTGGCAGTTTTAGAGGAAGGTTTTCTTCTTGTGTTTTTTTATGAAACAAGGTAAATTGTGTTTTTTTCAACGTTAAGAGGAAGTTTATTTGACCTGAACCAATCATTTACTTTTTCTAATTCAATGTTCATGTCAGCATAAAGTTGATTAATATTGCAGTTAGATAAAAATAGATTTGTATCGTCTGCAAACATGATAGCATTTAGTTTTAATGATGCATTATTAAAATCATTAACATAAATTAAAAATAAGAGCGGACCTAGGATCGATCCTTGAGGCACTCCACACAGAATATTCAGAACTCCAGATTTCTTGTTTTGAACATATTGTTTTCTATTAGATAGATAACTTTTTATCCAATGATATAATTTATTGCATACCCCGTACCATTTTAGTTTATCTAACAGAATAGAGTGATCAACGGTGTCGAATGCCTTGGATAAATCTATGAATACTCCGAGAGTAAACTTATCATTTTCAAAACCATCAGTTATTTGGTCGACTAATTCAATAATGGCATGTTCTGTTGAATTTTTTTTTTGAAATCCGAATTGTTTTGGATTAAAAAATTTATTTTTTTGTAAAATAATCAAATATTTTATTAAAAACTACACATTCGAAGATTTTTGAGAAAACAGAAAGTACCGATATGGGTCTATAATTTGATACGTCGGCGAGATCATTATTTTTATAAATTGGGTATACTCTCGCAAGTTTAAGTATATCAGAATACCTAAATCTCGTTCAGTTTCATTTTTTTCCAGGTTTGGACAAGTGCCTTCTGTGTTTGTCATTGAGTAGACCTCGACCGACAGGGACTGTTTTGCATTTTTCCACATAAAAGAACATCAACCATTTGTGAGACCAGTTTATGGCATGATCAATATCTGATTGTAAAGGTTCATTTAATTTTATGATGTTCATAATTTTACAATCATCTGCGTAGAGCTTAAACTGGCTTGTAATGTTGTCCGGTAGATCGTTTATAAGTAATACGAAAAGAAGTAGACCGAGAACGCTTCCTTGAGGGATACCACCTATGACTTTTTTCCAATCTGATGTGAATATTTCAGCAGTCGAATGAGAATCAATGACAGCACGCTGTTGTTTATTGTTGAGCCGAGCATTTATCCACATTAATGTTCTCTCGTAGATGCCATATGCTTTCAATTTGCTCATTAGGCAATTGTGCAGGACTTTATCAAATGCCTTTGCAAAATCAGTGTAAATCACATCAACTGGATACTTTTTGTGTGCGGCTTCTGTGAGGAAGTTTCAAGGAGATTAATCAAACAGTTTTTTCCTTGAACAAATCCGTGTTGTGATATGCTTATTAAATCGTTTGAGTTACAGTGTCGCATTATAATTCATTATATTCAACAAATATGCTCTCAAATATTTTGCATGGTAAGGATGTGAGAGAAACTGGTCTATAATTTGATGCTTTTAGTTTGCTTTCTTTCTTGAAAGGGGGCATGATGTTGGATTTCCTCCAGAGGTCTGGTACAGTGCTGGTTGAGAAAGATTTCTTGAAAATTAACGTTAAGGGCAATGCAAAAGCTTCTGCGCAGTGTTTGAATACACGTAGGTGAATGTTATCAACACCAAAAGACTTAAATTCGTCAAGGTTTGCGAATCGAACACAGATATCGTTGATTGAAAAGAAATTCTCGTCTAATATACATTTTTTGTCAACTCGGGGTTCCAACTCCGGCACAGGTCCGCCTAGCTCGTTGACAAATACTGATTGGAAGTAATTGTTCAGGGTTGTGCAAATAATTTGAAGATTTTTTGAAATTGTTCCATCAGTTGTTTCTATAGAATTGAATACATATTTTGAGTTGGTATTGTTTTTGATATGAGCGTGTAGTTTTTTAGGGTCGTTTTTATATAAATAAGCTAGGTTCTCTTCGTAATATAACACGGCTAATGTCAAAGTTTTTGTTACATTTCTACAAGCTTTATTGTGCTTGTCTCTGAGCTCTCTATGTGTATGGCGACCAGAGGCGATATATTTATTCCAAAGTTCTTTTTTTGTTCTAATAGCTTTTAAAACTTCGCCTGTTATCCATGGTT